ATTTGTACGAATGACCTACACATAACCCCACCCCTAAACCTACCCGTCACAGGGGTCTAGACAAATGGTACAAAATCGTATGAGTGAGGTCGTACGAATTTGCACGAATTATCCACCTCGTAAAATACGTACGAATTGGTCATGAGATAGCGTTGAAATTATGTCATTAATTACTCACCCTCATGTCGTTCCAAACCCGTAAGACCTTCGTTCATCTTCGGAAAACAAATTAAGATATTTTTGATGAAACAAAAAGTATTCTCGTAACTTCGTAAAATTAATGTTGAACCACTGATGTCACATGAACTATTTTACAGATGTCCTTACTAACCTTCTGGGCCTTGAACGTGTCAGTTCTGTTGCTGTCTACGGAGGGGCAGAGAGCTCGCAGATTCCATCAAAAATATCTTCATATGTGTTCTGAAGGTGAACGAAGGTCTTACGGGTTTGGAAAGACATGAGGGTGAGTAACTAATGATAGAATTTTCATTTTTGGTTGAACTATCCCTTTAACTAGTTGCTTATTAGCATGCATATTGGCTGTTTATTAATACTTATAAAACACATATTAATGCCTTATTCTGCATGGCCATATTTTAGATCACTCAATCCTACCGCATGCCTAAACTTAACCTTAATAAGCAGTAAATTTGGAGTTTATTGAGGCAAAAGCCATAGTTAATGGCAGTGTTGGGAAGGTTACTTTGGAAATGTAATAGGTTACAGATTACAAGTTACCCTATTTAAAATGTAATAAGTAGTGTAATTTTTCAATTACTTTATTAAAGTAATGTAACTGATTACATTTACTTTTTGATTACTTTTCTAAATTTCTAATGTTTTCAACTGTTTATCATTTTCAAACATGTAAACCAGGATGGGTAAACCTTACAGTAGTACTCAGCACTGATTACTGTCACTCTTTCAAAATCCTTTATCACTTGAATTAAGATTGTATTTAAATTTTAAAGTAGACATTGGATGCAAAATTCACTTTTACATGGTGTTTTCATATAAATGTATCTTAGCAGTGTACAATGATAAAAATCCATTCACTTCCTATTTTTAATCCCCCAAAATCCCAAACAGTCTCAATTATCAAGCCGTTTTGATTTTCTGAGAAGTATTATGTCATATTGTACACAACCGCCACTTAGCATGCAGTGCATTTGTTTTGTTTTTAATGGTAATGCACCACTGAATACACCTAAATTTGTTTATGTCTGCGCAAATCATTTTACTACAGACTGCTTTCTGAACGAGGGACAAGGCAGGTTTTGTAAAAAAATTCAAGGATAGATCAGTACTCCGTGTTCGTGATCCAGCTGCACCTCCAGAAGAAGTAAGTCTGACACTTTATATTTTTTATGATTATTTGCAAATCGCCTTTGCTCTTCCACAGAAGAAATGGGCGGGTGAGCAGAGCTCATTAGCATTTAAAGGGACATGTCCCAAAATGAGTCGCTGTGAACAGAGCAAGGTAAAAGGGTGTTGTTTTACACGACCACTGAGGAATTTTAACCAAAGTATGTTGCAGACCGTTCATGAAGACCCTAAAGAATCATACCAACTTGTGGAAGACGAATAGGAGGGAAGTGAACTCTTGTCTAAAATCAATAGGAATTATCCATTAAGAGAGGCGGCGTGCAAAATATGACACCGGGTTGGCTGTATCTGAAACCCAGACCTGCTGAAATGCATGATGGGGAGGGGTGGAGCCACCGCCCAGACGTTAAACTAAAAATATCAGGAGAAGGGCACCTTCAAGAGAGTTACTGTAATGCAGTATGGAGGAAGTGATGTCATAGTGCGCAAACCAATTATGTTGCGCAGATATTATCTCACGAGGAGATTCTCCGCTAACAGGTTTCCTGTCCCCATCCTACATGGTGTTTCTTAAATTAGACTAGCATATCGCTAGCTCTGTATCCGCCTGTGTTTATGTTGGAAATGAAGAGCAAAAGTGAAGCCATTTTGGGGTATTTAAAACTGAGCTATTTTAGGAAATTGTGTTGCTTAATAATAAATGATAAAAACCGCTCGTCTGCTGTATAAACATAAAGGGATGAGTATTGGTGGAGTTTTGTGATCTGCAGTGTGTGTGGTTGAAGAATTAAAGCTAGTCTGAGTCATTGTGTACTGCAGTCTCCTGCGCTGGTTGCTACGGTGAAGCGCCAGGGTCTCCTGAGCAAACCGGTCCCAGCTCGAAAGGGGACGATCACAGGCTCACTCCTGCAAACATGCACGCTGTCACAAAAATACACGTATGCAATCCCTTCAAACTATTGCTAACAGCTGAATCGGTCATATTTTTGATTGGTGTGTGAAATTGCACAGGACTGCAGTAAAACCTCCCAAGTTACCAAGGTATTTAATTGAATAACATAACAGTTATTCATATATTTAATTGAATAACACAACAAAATAATGTTGGGAGGTCAGGAGCAAACATTGAATCATGTTTAAACTACAGCTAATAAAGCTTTTAATGAGATAGATGAACTGTAGTCTCAGGTGGTTGGTGCAGGTTTAATTACAGTGTCTGTTGGTCAAAATAACAGTTTGATATTTTTTATATTTTAGCTTTCATATTGCAGGTTGGTCTTATGGATGGTCTTAAACTACAAATCAAAAGTTTTTGGTCAGTAACATTTGTTTTTGAAATACGTCTCTTATACTCACAAAGACTGCATTTGTTTGATTGAAAATACAGCAAAGATATCAATACTGTGAAATATTATTACAATTTAAAATGACTACCTTCTGTTTTAATGTATTGTAAAATGTAATTTATTCCTGTGATCAAAGCTGAATTTTCAGCATCATTACTCCAGTCTTCAGTGTCACATGATCCTTCTAATCATTATAATATACTGGTTTGCTGATTATTATCAATGATGAGAACTGTTAATCATAACTAATATCATAATCAATAATCTAAGACATTTTTTTAGGATTCTTTGATGAACAGAAAGTTAAAAAGAGCATTTATTTGATATTTGTAACATTACAATGGTATAATGTCTTTAATGTTACTTCTGATCAAAATAATGTTTCCTTGCATTGTGTAATTCATAATATTTTTAATAAAAAGAAATCAGTGTCAAAGCAATAGTTCACCCAAAATGAAAATTTGCTGAAAATGTACTCACCCTCAAACCATTCAAGACGTAGATAAGTTTTTTTTTGCATCACATCACTTGTTCACCAGTGTATCCTCTGCAGTGAATGGGTGCCGTCAGAATGAGAGTCCAAACATCTGATAAAAGCACCACAATAATCCACAAGTCATCCACACAACTCTAGTCCATCAGTTAATTTATTATGTAGCAAAAAGCTGTGTGCTTGTAAGAAACAAATCCACCATTAAGTGCTTGATCTGTGCATATTTCTCTCCTGATTCAGACCAGATCACTTTATCACTGGAGAAAGTGATAGGACCCCCTTGAAAAAGAAATGATGCATTTCAAGGGGTTTATCCTATAAAGAATACAAAAAAAAAATTCCAATTTACAAAAGTCACAGTATCATAAGTGAAACCCAGTAAACAAGATCGCATTAAGTCATAAACACTGCAAGAATAATTAAGACAGTCAAAATAATGCAATGCAAACCTTTTTGTTAGGCTGCTTGTTTTGGGGGAAGGGGCTGCATTTTAAATGCTTTCCTTATAATGGCATGTTTCCTCATTAATAATTAGCAGACCAACAAGGACGACTGCAGATGGCCCTACAGAGTGAGTTAAGATGAAAATATCTGTATCTGTGTGGAGATGGAAGGCAACGAAGAAGGGAAAATTGATCTTTGGATCAAATCCAATCTTCAGTTATCTAGTTTCGGTTATCCAAATAAACAAAACTAAATATAGGTTTAAATGGACCATGACGTGACCAAGTTCTGAAAAGTAATCCTCTGAGAGTTAGCATGTTACCATTAGCTGTTTTGCCAAGAGAATCTATTTCAACTGAAATGAAACTTCATAATATCACTCTGTAAAGAGGCAACCATTATTTCTGTGAGTCCTGCACAGCCAGATGGTGCTTAGATCCATTTGTAATGCGCCTATTAACTATAACTCCATTTGTCATGATGGGAAGACAGATTGAGGGTAAAGAGGTTTCTTTATTATTCTTCTGCATTCTGATTTTGAGATAGAAAAGGAGGTACAATTGATATGATTGTTAGACAGTGTGTCAATGGACAAAATAAAAATAGGCCTACATTTGTACACTATTCCAAATCTTCTTCAAACTAAAGAATGTACTAGTTTTGGAGTCACTGGTGGCAAAATGCTGTGAACAAAATTATTGTATGTCATAAGTGAACCTTAATGCACCACATTGAATAAGCAGAATAGCACATATTCATTGAATATTATCTATTTCGATGTGTTCTTCAAACAAAGCTAATGACAGGCTTCAGAAAACTGGTTGTACAGGGGATTTGGTCTTTTTGGAGCTTACTCTGAGAGAAACAATTATATATATATATATATATATATATATATATATATATATATGTGTGTGACTCCAGTCTTAAGTCGCTGGGGTATATTTGTAGCAATAGCCAAAAATACATTGTATAGGTCAAAATTATAGATTTTTCTTTTAT